ACTTGGCTGGTACCTGTTGTTGTCCCGGATGATGAGATCCACCCTTCCCCCCCTTGCCGTCTTTGCCCTTGATGTGGTGAAGTAAACCACTGTCACCTTCGGCCGATGCCCTGGCTTCGACCAGCTATGCCCTGGTTAACGCAAGGTCGCTGGCAAACAAGACTTTCATCCTGAAGGATTATTTTACCTTGCAAATCCTGGATTTTTTGTTCGTGACAGAGACCCCGCTAAATGTTGGTGAGGATGCTGCTCTTTCAGAATGATATCCGCCTGACTGTTCTTTCTTTAACTCACCAAGAACAACCGGACACAGAGGAGGAGTAGCAGTTGTTTTTAAGGAAAGATTATTCTTCAAGCCCTTGTCCCCTCTCTTTCACAAGTTTTGAACTGTGTCTATTAAAGCTACGGCGTTCCTGCCCAGTACTTTGTGCAGTAATTTACGAGCCGCCGCAGTACAATAAGGACTTTATAAATGAATTCTCTGACTTCTTCGCGAATATATTGCCAAATTATGACACTGTTTTAATTGTCAGAGATTTCAGTGTTCATGTCTGCTGTCCACTGAAACCACTGGCCAAAGACTTTTTAAATGTTTTTGACACTTTTAACCTTCTGCAACATGTTTCTGGAACCATGCAGGAGCAGGGGCACACGTTAGACCAGGTTTACCATGTTGTTTACCAGTTATTCCTCTTCAGGTAGGCAATACCTTTTTCTTTGACCATATGCTAGTGTATTTTGAATTTATTCCACCTGGTCTGGTAACTAAACTGCGCACTCCTGCATGCAGGTGCCATATAGTTATTCCAACGTTCTTGATGATGTCGCTTCTCTTAAAATGATGTGCCCCAAACCCAAGTCCCAGCCATCGCTGAATGACATCATCATCTGGTGATGAAGTTTATTACACTTAATATTGATGTTTACATTGGATTGCTGCTTCTGCATGTAAGGATCCTTAGTATGTTACCAGAGGTTTAAGCCTCACTCTCTGATGGTGACTGGTGTTTATCATGGTGTGAATATGTGCACAAATCAAGGATAATTTGAGGCCGTATTTGTCAAACATTGCGCCAAGAATTTAAGATCTTTGCAAGGCAAAGCAGGCTCAGGTCTCACATTAACATTGCCTTCCAGTACTGGGGGTGGGGTGGGGGGGGGTCTGGGTCTGGGTTGACCGAACTGCATTGAACCACCTTGCAAAGCGTTAAGAACTACTGAACTAGATAATCAACTAGACTTCTGTGCAACTGGACTTTGGTTAGGTGAGGTCAGTAGTAGAATCTAGCCTGAGAAAATAACTATAAAGGTCGGGTGGTGGAGTTCAATGACAACAGCTAATTCTGTATTTTTGTTTGCAAACATGAGTTACAAAATAAGATATGAACAAAAGCTGCAGTTAAACTGTATAAAGTTGAATATAATGCAGATGTGCAGCAGAGTCTTGCTGTCTGAGCCACAATCTGAAACACACTCACATTTTTCAACACATTCCTGCACATGCTCACACTCAGACTCAACTGTCTGGCTCTTGTTAAGCCACAACAGCCTCCTTGCACCTGTTAGGATAGAAAGGCAGCAGTCTTAGACCAGCTGTTCATGTCTGTGCTTTCACTCCTCCATTGTCTGACAGACAAGCGCATTCCTATCTGAGCCGCCACAGAAATGAGACTGTTATACTGATAGCCTGTTAGAGATACAGAGGAACAAGAAAACACAGATGCTCAAGGTTCACTAATGGAAAGACACAAAGAGCAGGGATGATGGTGGGAGAAGGCTCTGAGAGAGGGAAGGGGAGGAAGAAAAGATCAGAGGTAAAATCTGTGGTTTGTTCCAGAGTATAAAACCACTTATATCATCATTTATTCTGGAGACAAACCTCTTGTAGTTGTTAGAATAATAACAGTCCTCACCTTAAGTAGAGCTGGAAAGAAACACAATACTGCCACTTAATGTCTTAGAGAGACACTCAAGGTGTAAAATGTGTTAGAAAGTAACACTTAAGGCTTTCATTCAAGTCCTGGCATAGGTTATTATTTTTTTTATAAAAAGAGGAAATATGAGGAATAAGCAAAGAGGTAAATAAAAATTAAAAAATAAAGAAACTTTTAGTAGTTGACAGGCAATAGCCTGGGACACTGCTATTTTTGAAAAGTTGATGCAAAGCTGTCAATTTAGACCATCTGCAGGTTTAAGTAAGTTCAGTCATTCTTTTTGCTTCAATCAGTTTATTATTATGAAGTTGTGTCCATCAGGACCCATAAAATCAGTAAGATTCAACCTTAGTATCCATTGATACTGAGGTTGTAAGCAGCACCAAATGAATCTTGCCCATGTCAGATGTTATAAATGTCCAGGCTCGGTGCATGTCTTTAAGCCATTACACACCGAGGAATTAGCAAAGTGCTGTGAAAATGCGAAATTCTTTTCCTATACACATCTGGTGCAACATGAATAAAATTCGCATATTCACATAAACACATGGTCTGTGGCACCACGGGAGAACAGATGGGGAGAGAGAAGATTGAGAAACAATGGGGACTACATCCTCAAGTGATGATGACCTGGTCATGGTTATAAGACTATCAAATAACAAAAAGAAAAAGAAGAAACTAAGTGTCTGGGTACATCCATTACTGACCTTGCAACAGGAGATCGGGGAGTTCCACACAACAATCCAGGAGCTCATATTGCATCAACTATACTTCAGAATGTCCCTCGGACAATTTCAAGAACTGCTCCATCAGCTGACTCCAAGTTTGCAGAAGGAGAGGACAAATTACAGAGAGACGACTGATCCAGGGCAACAGCTTGCCACATTTCTGAGGAAGGATTTACATTATTTTTGACCAAGTCCTGTTTTCTTGAAAGATCTTTGCCTCCAGTTATGTACGCTGCTCCTTAATGCTGATTGGCTGTGAGGCTGACACTGCTCCTTAAAGCTGATTAAATTGTGAGGCAGATGCTGCTCCATTGTGTTGTGAGCACACTCCACGTCCTCCAGTAACGTGCACAATGCCCAAACAAAGTTAGCCTGCTACAATATCGAACAGTAGAAACCAACCAGAAAATTGTCTGAATCCTCCTTTGGCCACAACTGCCAACACAAGCAAGAAAACAAAGAAAATACAGGAGACTCTGGCGGAATAACAGTCGCTTAAAAAGGAGGTAGACCGGACAAGAGCTAAAAAGCCAGGTTGATGGGGGACGCTTCAGGATCTTACGGACCCTGTAACCTTTCTGCTGGACAGGTTAACCACTTTAACAAAGTAAGGCAAGTGTCTGTAACAGAAGTGTTTGTCAAACGGGACCTGCTGTGTGTTGTAGCACCGCTAATCTGTTTACCTCAAGTCCTGGAGTATGTAACTTTATCCTAGTTGTAGAAGTCTTGCAAACATTGTGTTTGCTGGTTGTTTGTTGACATCTTCAGTAGCACCAATGCATTTTACTTTCATGTTGACTGGGCCACATTCGTAATTATCTCAAGTATTTATTTGCATTATATCTGAATTTAATTGATATGATATGAGCGAGCAGGAGTGTCTGTTTGTGGGCGGGGCTTTCTGGAGCAGAGAGGGAGGGGAGAGGAGGAGCTGAGGGGAAAACTAGCTGGGAGGGGTAGTGTTTACATTCAAGATTTCTCCCATAAACTGGCACTTCCTCAGATCCTGCCTACCCCACCTTTAACCAGCTGACAGAGAGTCCAGGTGATGATGTAAACAAAGACTAGATTGATGTGGATCTCTGAGGTATGTTTGAGGACAAGAGTTGGCATGTTAGGGGTTGAAAACAACCCAAACTGTCCTGCACAAGAGGCCTAAACTTGCATCACTGTTGGACCCAACACAGATTAAAATTTGGTGAGAAGTCATGAAGTCAGCAACTGGAATCTAGATTTATATTGAACATACATTCACAAAACAGGATGGAGATGGGCCTGTTGCAGAGTTCATACAGTTATTGAGATTATCAGCTATTCCTGCTGAACCCCTCTAGTTTCAGCAACTCACTCAGAGACCTTTGTCATAATGATGACGAGTAGAGGGTTTGGGGTTTGTGTTTTAAGCTGGGCTATTAAAGCAAAGTGAGCTGAGGGGAGTGACAGTAAGTATTTTTCACATTGTTTTAAAAATTAAACGGATGGAAGATAAAATTGGTAATCTTTCACTGAAACGTTTGTTAGATGCAGTTCAAGTTTGAAGCAATCTAGATTTTCAAGAAACTTAAGTTTAAAAATGTTAGTTACTGAAAGGAATAAAAGTGAGAAAACATTGAGTTTCAATTTCCAGGGAGAACCAACCAAAGGTGAAATCAGGACAGAGACAGAGGGCTTCTGCTTTGCAGACAGATGACGGAGAGTCTGGGTGTTAAATATCTGGTGTTTGGTAAGCATCTCTGGCCCATGCACCGAAGATCTGCTCCACCGCTGCAGCGAACAAACCTTCCTGCCTCCTGACAGCCATAAACAAAGATCATCACGAGACTCTTAATGTGGTTTAATAATCAGACGTCTGTCATGTGATTTTCAGAAGGTTTGACTTCAGAGAGAGGGGCGCAATAACCTGCAGACAAACCTTTTACCCTCCTCATTTTTAGTGTCTCATAGCTTTAAATAAAACCATTACATTTATAGGAATCTAGCTTTGTTACTAACCTGATTGTTTCTGTTTGACATATACTGGCAGTCAGGGGCGTCACTAGGTTTTAAGGACAAGGGGGGCTTAGCCCCCAAGAGATGAACAGGATGTGAGTGAACGTAGTGAGCGATCACAAAATTTCACAAACAGAAAACAAAGACTGAGAAATTGCTTTTCAGCTTTTTTGGACGGATTTAACTAAGATATAGTCTCAGGCCACCAGTAGTTTTTTTGTTTTATTTCAGTCTTTTTTTTCTTCAGTTCTTGGAACCACTACTGACCAAACTATCATGTTTTATGTTTTTGCCAAACACTCTACATGGGAAACAGAAAGCTGTATTCTGGTTGACTGAATATTCTAACCAGTTGTGCTTTTCAAACCAGCTGTAGTGAAACGCTCTCTTCTGTGTACCAAAATTATCTTGTGGGTAGCTCTTCAGCTTGACCTGTATGGGCCCTGTGTCTTTGTCACCTACATCAAACCCTGTAGTGGAATGAGTTGCTGCAGCTGCTTCATTATTTTCCCTCTCTTGGCCTGTTCGCTCTCCTCTCTCAGCTTCCTCTGCCATTTGCTGCAGCTCCTCAGCCTTTCCTTCTGCCTGACCCTCCAGGATACATTGAAACACACTGAATTAATAACTAATCCAAACATAGAGGCTAATGTCATGACTTAAGCTCACACACCACCCACAGTAATTTTTTGCTCCCAAATAGTAAGATGTTACACAGATTACATTTTGGGCCCATATGTGACTAAAATGGTTGCAATTTAAAGCCCTGAAAAATATTACTAAATTACTTGAATTAAAGTAATATTAAAATAGGACCCCCAAAAATATTTGGGTCAGGCTAATTTATCTCTTGGCTCTCTCCACTTTCTAATCTTGACTCTCTTAAATAAAAACTCAAATGAAATAAGTCTTATATGGTGCACCATGACTGAAATTTCATATTTCATATCCGTATTGAGTTCCATAAAATTCTAATCAGACTGTCTGCATCACTCCTGTGAATTCTTTTAGACTCACCTCTTCAGTAGAGGTGTCTCCCCTCTCACTTGCTGTGCTCCTCTGTCCTGACTCCTAAAGGTCAGTGGGGATGGTGGGGTGAGTATTATTAGTGCATTATTATTTTCCACTGATGATAATCATACGTGAATGAGCTCAGCTCGTTTTTTTTCAGAGCTAAAACAAGTGACAGAAATCAACATCATGCTAACAATTTAACTTGGTGTGATAGCCAGGTTTTTATTTATCAAAATGGGGAGCACCTGGTTTATAAATTACATGGGACTATTAGCTGTTAGCTGGAGCTTATTGTTACTACCAGCAGCTATAAAGACTTACTTTTTTGAAAAACTTGCATATGTCCATGATGCAGCTCTCTGCCTGGCTCGTAATGTGACCGTCTCGCTGTGACTGTGTGCAGGGAGCATGTAGGTACTGCTGCTGGCAGCAGTAAAAATGCGGACTGGATTTTCAGTAATGTGGGCGTTCTCTATATCAACAAGTGGAACGGATTGAATAACTAAGCGCTGACGAAGGCTCTCCACCTTACACAGTGAAGTCATGGGAAACTAAATGATTTGTGATCATATTTAAGTGTATAATGAAATTTTATATTATTATTTATTTAAACTCGTATTCCTGCGTCTTTGTATTGAATTTGTCTGCACTTTTTTGTAAAATACATATATATATATATATATGTTTAAAAAAAAAAAAAATTATTTAGGGGGGCTTAAGAATATTTTAGGGGGGCTTCAGCCCCCCTAAAATAGGCCTAACGACGCCAATGCTGGCAGTCAAGCTTAATCGGGTTGGTTCCACTTTAAACAAGTAGAAGTGGTAATACACCTGGATCTGGTGGTTTGTGTTAAGAGAGAAGGTTAAATCATAGTTGGGGACGATGGACAGAACAAATATGGGAGGTTCACAAAACAGACCTAAGACACGCAAACAACATACATACTGCGATGATTGGACTCAGTCATGAGACAAACTACAATATATCAGTTGTGTGGGATGGCCACAGCATAGTCAATCATGCACATCACCAAAGAACGGAAAGTATGTTTGTCTCTTTGATATTCAGCTTCAGAAGCTGTTGGCTTTTGTGCAATGACCTTTAGGAGTGGTGGTGGAGTTTTTGCACATTCCAGTGCAGCAGTGCGGTGCTGAGCTTAGACTTTCTGTCCCATGTGCTGCATTTTTACAGTTAAATTAACGGCTTCATAAGAAATCCTGAGTTCAAGTCAGAGGACAAGACAAAAAGTTTCATTTTCCTTGGACTTGTATTTTAAAGTGTAAACAGGGGTATACATGGACTGTTGGTGCTTTGAGGTGGATGGCTATTTTTTAGCTCAGATTGAGACTTTTTTCCAGCTCCACGTTGAACATCTGGTAAGGTTCAGTCCTATGTGATAAAGAGATTTTGTCCGAGGATTCTGTTTTACTAAGCAGTATGTGGCATTATAGAAAAAAAAAAGCTCTAAGCTACTTCATTTGACCTTTCTGTGAAAGTGTTTGACATTACAGTAACTCAGTGTTCCGACCTCGAGCCGCCAATGTCAAGTTCTTTATGACTGTGGACATAAAGAGAAAGAGATCCACGTCATGGTGACTCATGCTGTGATTAAAACATGTTCCATAAGCTCCCCCAGACCTGAACAAAAAAGGAGAAACAGACAGCCCAGTAAATGGAACATTTAAAGGATTTTTTTTCTTTACCCGAACCCTTATAAGAGTGGGAAGAGTGGGATCAAAATGACTGTTGTTTGATAATAAATAAAATTGTGTTATAGTCCACAGATTTATTGCTGACAGATCAGCTTCGATTACATGTAAAAATTAAAATGCTGTGTAAATCATGAGTCTTTAGGGAACTTCATAGTAAGTATCAAAATAAGACATGCCGTCTTTGGGGATGTCTCACTGAATAAATAAAGGTCAGATTATCTGATTTCCAGTGTTCAGTAAAGTCAACAACATGCATTTCCAGTGCGGCTGTGTAGCTCTTTGTAGAACCATCAGTTTTCACCACGTGCAAACCGGTTAGCTAGTGCAGTAGTTGAGCTCGGCCCATGATAACATTGGCGTCACTAAGGCACCATGTTACCTAAGATAGACCTGCCCCCCCCTAAGGTCACTGGACATCATAAATCAAAGAGTCTTTTCAATCAAATCAGCAGCTACAGGATCATCTGCCTCATAGATCATCACTGTTTTCTCCACTATAAGGTCCTAAATCATGTACCTGCAGAAAAGGCGCTTGGTGTGTAATGGCTGCTTGCAACAGACTACAAATAACAGTGAATTTTCTGTCCCATTTGGTGATGTGCTGTGGGTGATGATGGCGGTGGATTGGCTGTTATGACAAATCAATAATAAAGAGATTGAGGCACAAACATGATGCAGCGTTATCACATCCTATTGGTTTCCTGTGTTTTAAAGAGGGAAAAATGATCATTTGATGTCTTTATGTTCTTTATCTTCTTTAAGCACTTTTAGAAACTATCTTAAGACTAATTCATTTGCTTAAATTTGTTCATTTTTTCTACATACTTTGAATTTGCGGAATAGCCAGCTTGTTCTCAAACTTTGATTTTTATTCTGCTTCAGATTTCCTTATTATATTAGCAGAGGTGGGCACAGTAACTCAAAAAATTAACTTCATTATCCAACCAGCCGAATAAGACTGAATATTGTTTAAAACCAACTGAAATTTTAAACCTGCAGAAAGTTTGGCTTTCCTCATCTTAAAACTAAAGCTGTATGCAGAAAGCGAGATGCTCCGAGGCCACTGGGATCTCCTCTGTTCTGTCTGCTTCTCCAGAGTGATGATGAGGGATTCTATCGATAATACACATTATAACAGCAGCACATACACACTGAGCACACATCACCAAGGCCACTGTGACCAAAGAGACCACTCAAACTGACTGCACAACCCAGCAATAATATATGCTCTGCAGCAGCACAAAACCCTCAAGGACACACACACACACACACACACTCACTTAAATACACACACACACACACTCACCCTGTTTATAGGCTGTTAATAGGAGCAGCTGCTGAATCTCTGTCCTCTCTGTCGTCCTGAGCCAGGTCCTCAACCTCAACCTGATGGAGACCCCAGCTCTCAGGCCGCCTGTAGATGGACTAAGAGCAGCCACCAGTGTTAGCTCTGGTTGTCACTGCTCTGTCTCTGTCATTGTTCAGATTTAGATGTATGTGAGCCCTTAAAAAAAGAGTCCACTGCTGTCAGGCCGTAGGGTGGGGTTACGGTTTGGAGATTGTTTGGAGCAGCACTTCACACAGTGTTTTTTTTTTTTTTTAAGCTGTATTTATTGTGTATTCTTATTTGTAAAACTCACTTATATATCTCCACTTAAATCACATAAATGAGTTCAGTAATGCAAAAATAAAGGTGCCAAATTAAATCAAACAGAGGTTAAAGCTGCAGCACCGTAACAAGTCCCAAGTATAATAAAGGCCTATATTGTCTCTATTATTTGTGTTATTTATGTAGGTTCATTTATCTTTTGCATATCTTATGTGGAGGTTTTAGAAGAGAGCACAAACCTGAAGAATCACATGCAGAAAGGTTTATTTAAGTCTTAAGTAATTTTGTGCATAAAAAACATGGGCCTGAATGAGTTAACATGTTTCTGGAAGTAATGAGAAAACTGGATCACAAAGATACAGCCTGTTTCTTTACAGCTGGATGTCTCAGTCAGTTAGACTTTGTTAATTAGACAGTAAAGAACACACTGGTTTATGCAGAGATAGTGGTTATTTTACTGTATTTAAAGGAAGCTGCAGGGAGATAAGGGGAGGAGATGAGTATCTGCAGCAGCAACTATCCAAGGACACTTAAAAACAAAAGAGTTAAAGGACTGATTCTGCCCCTCGCCATCTGCCGCGTCTTCCTCTTTCCTCCTCTCTGACTCGTCCTCTCGAGTCTCTCATCCCGTCGACAGTCGAGGAGTTTTCCCTCATCAACAAACTGGCGACAGGCTGACAGATCAGCTGACACACCATCTACAGTATCTGACACTCACTGTCTGTGTTTTCCTGCACGTCAGCATATCTGCTGCTCCCGCTGCACTGCCGTCTCCCCGCCATCTCATCGCTGTGTCTCCAAACAGAGAATAATCAGAGAGGAGACACTGATTCGTCCTATCAGCTGCACATGGAGAACGTCTGAGTCTGATACTGCAGAGGCAGAAACAGCGAGGAGAGTCTGAGAGTTTCATTAACACAGCTTTAGGTTAATACAATAAAAAAAGTTATTTTAAATGAATTTGGTTCAATTTGCATAGTAGACTTTTTTTCTTAATATATAAGTTATTTACTAATTGATTACAAGTTTCCACGCCTTAACGCTTCCACCCTCTCCTCCTCAGATGGCTTGATCATGATCATTCTCTGACAGGAACAGGCCGCTCAGCTTAAAGCTTTGCAGGATGATCCAACTAATGGCAGACATGGAGTCTGGATGATCCAGCTGCTGTGTCAGGTTATCTCAGAGATCAGCTGAAGTATGACAACAATATGAGAACATGAGCTTAAGTCTTTAAAAACATTAAAAATGCGACTTC